ATCCCTGATGATCTCTTCAATTGTTCAAGTCTTGTGATCTTAGATATGGCACATAACAATTTCACTGGGTTGTTAAAATCAGGTATTGGAAGACTTTCTAATCTCCAAATTCTGCAAATTCATGGCAATTCCTTTTCCGGCCCCCTCCCAGGAGAACTCGGAAATCTTACTAGTTTGATGTTGTTAAACTTGGGACAAAACCAATTTTCGGGTACGATCCCTGTAGAATTCTCAAACATTTCTTCCCTTCAAAGCCTTTTGATTGGTAACAATAATCTTGAAGGAGAGATTCCAGATGAAATATTTGAGCTCAAACAACTTACGGAACTGTACTTGATGAACAACAAATTCGTGGGTTCTATTCTGAATTCTCTTTCAAGGCTAGAGCAACTTTCTCGGTTGGATCTAAGTGGAAACAGGTTTAACGGATCAATCCCTGATAGTTTGAGAAAACTTAACAAGTTGATTTCGATAGACCTCTCACACAACTTGCTCATGGGGTCGATTTCAGGGTCAGTGATTGCAGGTATGAAAAATACACCGATCTTTCTCAACTTCTCCAACAATTTTCTTACAGGAAGCATCTCGAATGAATTTGGCGAGCTGGAGATGGTAGAATCCATTGACATCTCGAACAATAATCTTTCAGGAGGAATTCCAGTGACACTTCAAAAATGCAAAAACTTGAGGAATCTTGATGTGTCTGGAAATCAGCTCTCTGGTAGTGTTCCAGAAGAAATATTCCCTCCCCTCGATCTGCTTTCCAGCATAAACTTTTCAAGAAATCAGTTTGATGGAGAGATCCCTGGAACTATGGCGAATTTGACCCGTCTTACCTCCATTGATCTTTCTCACAACAAATTCAAGGGTTTGATTCCTGAAAGTTTTGGCAACATTTCAGTTTTGAAACACCTTGACCTTTCTTTCAATCAATTAGAAGGACGTGTTCCAGATACTGGTATTTTCAGAAACATAACTGCAGTTGGATTACAGGGAAACCCATCTCTGTGCATTACAAACAACACCCAATTATGTGCCTCATCAAGTCGATCAAAGCGCTCACTATCCAGAAAGGCTGTATTGATTCTTTCAATACTCGGATCACTTGCATTGCTTCTTGTATTCATTTTGGCAGTATTATGTTGTCGGCATGTTAGAAAACCGAAAGTCAAAGAACCTGAGAACCCAGAATTACCAGAACACACCGCAGGGTTCACTCTCAAGAGATTTGATAGAAAAGAAGTGGAAGATGCTACTGACAACTTCAGTGAAGGTAACATTCTGGGTACAACTAGTTTAAGCACTGTGTACAAGGGTAGACTAGAAGATGGGAGGATGATAGCTGTAAAGATTTTGAACATAAACCAGTTTTCAGCTGAATCTGACAAGAGCTTTAACAAAGAAATGAACACCCTTGGGAAACTGAGGCACAGAAATCTAGTGAAGGTACTTGGTTATGCATGGGAGAGTGGGAAGCTAAAGGCTCTGGTTCTTGAATACATGGAAAACGGTGATTTGGATAGGATTATACACGACTCTGCGATTGATAGATCAAGATGGGATTTGTCTGAAAGAGTAGACGTTTTGGTTTCTGTAGCTAGAGGATTGATGTACTTACACTCGGGATATGATTTCCCCATAGTTCACTGTGATTTGAAGCCTTCTAACATACTTCTGGATGAAAAGTGGGATGCTCATGTGAGTGATTTTGGCACAGCTAGGATTCTTGGAGTTCATCAGCAGGATGGAGGCAACATCTCTTCTGCATCCACATTTCAAGGCACGATTGGCTACTTGGCCCCAGGTAATGAATCATCAACTCTTCTTTCTTACTTAGCTTTTAGGAAGAAAAAGTAACAATGGTTACTCATGCTTTCAAATTGTGAATCAAAATATTTTGATTAGTGGACTGAACTTTCCAACATATATAGCTTTTGATGATAAGTTATAATACTTTTGACCTTGAAAGTCACACTAACGCATTTCTGCATTTCTTTTTCCCAACAGAGTTTGCGTATATGAAGAAACTAACAACAAAAGTGGACGTATTTAGCTTTGGAATAATAATGATGGAATTTATCACAAGAAAGAGACCGACAGGTGTTCTTACCGAAGAGGAGGGAATCCAGATCACTTTGCCACAACTAATAGACCAAGCACTTTCAAATGGATTAAATGAGCTGATTGAAATTGTAGACCCTCATTTGGCTTCTAATTTCTCCACGAAGCAGGGCTTCATAGAACAACTGCTTAACTTGGCCTTATGTTGCACCAAAATGAATCCAGAGGATCGACCTGACATGAATGAAGTCTTATCTTCCCTTACAAAGATCAGTTAAGAATGTCTAAATCTTGAAGGTTACAATCTTTCTTCAGTGAAAGCTTTGTTCGTGAGAATCAAGAGGGTGAAGATAGATTTTTAGTTTGACCTTTGTAGACATGTGTGGGTTGTATGACTTAAATCTAAGTCAAGAGCCTACTTGCCTATATGGGAAAAGTTGTATACTTGTGTTTTAGTATAAATCCTGGTGTAGTGTAACCCATTAGTTAGAAGAGTTAGTTGTCATAAGTCTAATATATTTTTTCTGTGTACACCATTAATATCAAGAGCAGTTCAAGAAATTCAATGGTGTTTTGTTTCATCCTATTTGCATAGCTTCTTACTTACATATATTACTACTTTAAACCATCCATTCAATAAAACAAATTGGTATCTGAGCTTCAAGGGAGTGATTTGTGTTCGATCAAAGTGCATGAATTTGTGAATCCTTCATCCGATAGGAATCGGAATGGAATGAGGGTTAATGTAACAGCTATCAAATGAAGGAAGGGATTGTGAAGGAGAATCAAATTCTTGTTTGGAGGTGGTACACTTCAAAGAAATCTACCGCCAACGTTGCAGTTTATAAGATAAAAAAACAGTTATAATTATTAACTAACCGTAACAAAATTTACAATTTTGAACAATTTATATTATCCTCATTATTAATGAACCATAATAAGAATACTAATGAAATGTCTATAAGAAAAAGTTAAGAAATCTCAACCTTTGTTAGTCTTCTGTTAATATTAATTAGATAAGAAAATATATATTCCTTTCTTGTTAATATGTTGCAGTAAATAGTTGGATAAATTAGAAGTGTATGAGCTTGCAACTGCTACTGGGCTACTGGAGTGGGCTAGGAGCATTTGGGCTGAAGCTTGTATCAGAATTGAAGAAAATATAAATTATGAGGGATGAAGTTATACATGGAGAATACTGGTGGACCGTGGTTCACATTATACAAAGTTGGAAGGAGAAAGGCGCAGATCTTTGTGACCCGACCTGTCATCGGGGTTGTATCCAGTTTAAGGATTACAACTTTTGAAGTCTTTGATTCCACTCGGTATTGGAGAGTTGAAGTAGATGGCAAATGAACCAAAAGTAGAACTCCTCTATAATGTATCCACCTACAAGTTCAAACCACCAAAAATTCTAGTTTTCGTTTGTATTTAGAACTTCTTAAGCCTTTAAGAACTAAATATATTTTAGTCTTAAAGGAGAAGCACTTTAAAACACCAACACTTTCACCAGTCTTCTTAAGCGAGAAAGAGGAGATGGGAGAGAGTGTTTTTGGCCAAAAGAGAAGAAAGAACAAAAGACCAACCTCAAATGAAAGCCTTTGCTTCTCTTATATGCACACATATAAGATCTAAGGGTCATACCTCTATCATGGTCAAAGGTAAGGCATCTAAGAGGTATGGTGTGTGTAAGAGGAAAGCTAAAAAGCAACCCGCCACCCATACTTGATGGGTTCAATCAAGAATAAGAGAGAGGAGAGCATGAAGTATCCTACACTCCATCTCATTTATCATATGTACATTAGTTTATTCAAGTGAACTCAGAAAAGTCCAAAACTTTATACATGACATATTAATTCATACCTTGTGAGTTAATAATTAGATACACTCTTTGGAAAATATTGTTTTCAAAAAATAACAATTTTTTCAATTTAAATGCAAGAGTTGATAATATTTATTAATAATAGATTTCTAATAAATATTCAATAAGTGACTGTGTGCTAAAGGTGTGACCCTATAGGATCATATATTATTGGAAATATCATTCTAAAATGATTCTTGAGCATATATATCTAACACTCTCCTACTTGCATAAGATTCATTATAGATTGACATAGACAGTGGTGAACATCTAGCAACATTCCACTGCCCCAACAACACGTAAAGAAGTACCATGCAACAACATCGAATTCCCAAAAGCTTAAAGTTCCAATTGATGTATAAGGTGTTATATCAGTTATCCCTTTGTCACAAGCTTCATGTTGAACATGAGGCATGGATCGCAATTAATATCATATGGTGTTCAACTTTTAGTAAGTCCTTAGATGTCTAGCTCTCAACGAACAAGAGGAACAAATCTCATCTTAACTACATACGTATTTCATGTAGTTCATGTTATACCCAGCAATGACCTTTATAGCTCTCTTTTTAAAAGAACAATTGTTAACCATATCAAAGCACAATAATCCCTACACTCAAGTCCTAAATATGCATTCCAGGTCAAAGAATATAAATATACTACCTTCGAGCATGTATCATTCATGACTACGATCCATGAAGTGATCTTGATACGAGTCAATGTCCAATACTTCTTCTCCAACAAGTACTTATGAAGTTGGTTGCAACAATTTGCTATTTTCATATGAAAATCAACCAATCCAATTCATATTAGTCTTATCTCATAGTTGCTCCCACAACTAGGAACGACTATGGACATTTATAATAACTAGAATATTCAAGTATTAAACATGCTAATACAGAACACAACAAGTATTTAATGAAAATATAATATCCAACATATCAAAACATTACAATAGTTCTTGCTTACATTGTTCCAATTTCCAAATACTAAATTCGAATCAAATCCAATCACTAGAATAACGAAGTTCTATAGCTCTAGCCGGACTTTCATGATTAGCCAATGAATGGGCTTCGTTAAATAGAGCCATCAAATTTGATTTGTATAAACTTTGTGAATACTAGCATTTTTTGCTTCATTTATATCTCAACATAGTGAAGTCTCAGGAGAATGTTCTAGGTGCTTAATTATGACTTTTGTGGCAATACTTGCATAATGTGGCTCTCATAGTCATAAGAGATCTTTATGGGGTCCTAAATGGTAAAGGAAACCCCCTAGATCATTAATGAGCTTTTTGTAACATCTATATTTTTGGGTACAAGTCTTCTACCTTGAAATGTTGTGATTTTGGGGTTTTCCCGACACCACGATGTGGTAGGATCGGGACCACGGTGTGTCACATCTCCCTCTGGCACGTATCACAATATTGTCCGCTTTGGGCTCCCGACACACTTTCCAGGGGGTCACCTATCCCTGAATTGCTCTTGCTCGGGCACGCTCAACTGCAGAGTTCTTATGGGATCTGCTGCCCTCACAGCTTTAAAACACGTTGTGTCAAAGAATGTATCCACACCCCATTTAAGGTATGCTTAGTTCTCCTTCTCAATCGATGTGGGATCGGGTGCAACTAACTTGCCCGCATTCACCCCCATTATAGGTTACGACGTCCCCGTCGAACACATCGACCCGTGTCCTGGCTCTGATACCATTTGTAACATCCCCCTCTAGCACGTATCATAATATTGTCCGCTTTGGGCTCCCGACACAAAAACTTTTGAGGAGATCACCCATCCCTGAATTGCTTTCGCGCGGGCACGCTTAACTGCAGAGTTCTTATGGGATCTGCTTCCCTCACGACTTTAAAATACACCTGATCCCACCTGATCCCACATCGGTTGGGAAGAAGAACTAAGCATTCTTTAAAAGGGGTGTGCATACCTTCTCTGACACAACGCGTTTGAAAGTCGTGAGAGCAGTATATCCCATAAGAATTTTGCAGTTAAGCATGCCCGGGCGAGAGCAATTCAGGGATGGGTGACCCCCTGGGAAGTTTTCGTGTCGGGAGTCCAAAACGGACAATATTGTGATACGTGGCAGAAGGGGATGTCACACGGTGTGTGATTCATTTAATGACCATGACATAGTTAGCTCCTAACCATGGCACGGTGGCGGTAAGGGTTTAAAGACCTATATCTCGAGCCTTAAACACTATTTAAAGGATGTGATAGCTAGGGTGTCTCCCACCCCCAGCCTCCATCAGCCCCAAGTGCAGAGAATCAAACCCTAACTTCATTTTGTTGCCTTTAAGCTTATTTTTTCTTTCTTGTGTCCATTGAAGAAAGAAGAAGGTTGTTTCTAGTGAAAGGATCCATTTAGCAAGTTCAAGCATTTCTTTTGAGCACCTCCAGGACCATTGTGAGTCTTAAAGTCTCAATTGTTTTGGTTCAAATCTTGTAGTTTTAGAATTTAAGCTAGATTGGTTCATTTGTTGAGTTTTTGAGTGAGTGGTTGCAATAAAGTTTGCAACTTTATTGATCTCTGAAGTCGTAAGAGTATAATATATTTCAGATATGGACTCTTATGTTGTTAGTGTCATGCATGGGGTCTTGACCCAATTTCTTACCATTTTGACCTAGCTTAGGGATGGATATGCATTGGATATGCATGTCTATATAGTTACTATTTTTATGAACCTTTAGGGAGTCATGAAGCCTTCTGGAAAATATGAGAAATTTTCCTAAAACGATTAAGAACTTAATGAAGATATGGATCTATCAGCTTGACCACGACGTGGTCAAGTGTTGACCATGGTGCGAGAGCCAGATCCATTGCTTTTTTGGATCAAGCCAGACTATGGTGTGGCCAAGGTCTTTCCACGACACGGTGGTCTACGTGGTTGACTTTTACCGTTGACCATTGACTTTTTGACAATGTTGACTTTTTTCAACTTAATGGTTTTAGGTGGTAGACTGAGGTTTGAACTTTTGATTAATGTTTAGGTGGTGAGTAGTACCAACCTTTACTTTTGTTGCAAGATGTGGTGCTAGTATACTTCAACTGAGAGGTGAATCTTCTCACTATATTATGTAGAAAACTTGGTGTCACGGTATGTTATATTGTCTTTTGCATGAAAGACCATAGGTGGACCATGACAGGAAAAACTACAGATGGACTATAGCAACGGAAGTGATTGTAAGACTATGGGTGGACCATAGCATTCTCATGGGTTAAAATAGACCAGTAAGTGCATGAAAGACCATGGTTGGACCATGGTAGGAAAGACCGAATGGGGACTCTAGCAACAAAAGTGATTGTAAGACCATGGGTGGATCATAACATTCACATAGGTTGAAACATACCTATTGACTGAAATAGGTCGTTACTGTTGTATATGATATTATGTGATGTATGTGGTATCTT